GATATTTATTGAGCAAATTACATGAACTTTCATTAGGCTCTGAACTGTCAGCTTCCAATTTAAGTGGCAAAAGCTACTATTTCTTTGAAAATATTTGGGGAGTCCTTTAAGGAATAAATCTGATGGTTGTCTAAGAAGCTGTTGCATTTCAATACTCTGCTACAATAGAAGTTGGAGTAAAAAGGAATTAAAAATTGTTGCTGGTTTTTGTACCATTTGGGAATAAGAAAGTACATGGGAAATAAAAGAATTTATAAAATAAGTAATGATGCAACATTTGGGAGAAAAAACCCATCATTGCTAGAAGTGTGAGGAGGTGCACACAGTAGGAAAAGAAAAATGGCATCAATTCTGCCACACCAGTGAGTATTAAGCCAAGAGAGGGAAACACTGACCTGGAGAGAATGAGTCTTCCGTTAAAGCAGTGAAGGAAGGGAAAAACAAAGGACAGGAGAAGTTGGTACCCAGCGGTGTAAATGGAAAACAAAAGTTCATGGTGCTTTTCAGAGAGAGAGAGAGCTGAGGGGTGTTGACAAAACAATAAAAGCCATAATAAAATAAAGCTGGTGAAATTGTAACTTATTTAGAAAGGTAGAAAACAGTTGTATCCTTTAGTTTTAGAAATAAGTAACTGTTTGTACTTTTGGAAAAAATAGTTATTTAAAATGTTTTAATCCTCAGACCTCTAATTCTCTTCACTGGTGGAAAAAGGAGAAAGAGTGAAGGAGACAAGGGACAGAAATTTATTCTGAAAAGGAAATATTCTTGAAAGAATTAGAAAGTATTAAGAAAACTGGAAAATTCATACTGCAACTTAAAAAGGCTATTTTTGGATCAAGTAAATATAATGGAGAATTTTTCCAATTCCATAAAGTGTGATGTGGATGTATTGAGTGTATTCTACTTAAAGAAGGGTCAAGAATAATTGCAGCCAATAAATTAATTAAATGGAGCCAAATTATTTTATCTGTACTGTTTATCATGTGGCAAAGTTAAAACACAGATGTTCCTTTAATTTGACTGCTCTTTGTTTTCCATTTAGCTCCCTAACTGACCCTCTTCTCCCTAGTACCTTAATTTCTCACTGTCGATGTAGGATTTTATATTTGCAACACTCAGTGAAGCAGAAAAATATTTCCCAATTTGCCACTGGTGATGTGAGTCATGGGGTAGATTAAGTGAATTCTGTTTTGCAGGGAGGTAGGAATGGGGTACCAGTCCTTCAAACCTTAAGCTTACTGGTCACCACCTGACCATTCTCTCACCTCTGCTGATGGTAGTTAATTTGATACTCTGTATGTGACTGGTCAATAATCATACTTTTTGGACCAGCTAGAAGCCTTTGATTCAGTAACAGTTTTGGCTTGGAGTTGTAACATAGTGGCAGGGAAGTTTTTACAGTTCTGAGGGGGGACCTCATCAATATATACAAGTATTCGAAGGGAGGGTGTCAAGGGAATGAAGCCAGGCTCTTCCTGGTGGTGCCACTCCATAGGACAAGAAGCAATGGGCAGAAATTGATGCACAGGAGGTTCCACCTGAATGTGAGGAAGAACTTCTTTACTGTGCAGGTGATCATGCACTGGAACAGATTGCCTAGAGAGGTTGTGGAATCTCCCTCACTGAAGAACCATCTGGAATCTCCCTCCCTCAAGAACCATCTGGACACGATCCTGTGCCACGTGCTTTAGGATGACCCTGATTGAGCAGGGAGGCTAGACTAGATGACCCCATGGGAGGTCCTTTCCAACCTTGCACATTCTGTGATTCTTGCCTTATGTACAGGAGATGCCTGGTTCAAGTCTTGATCTGACATGTTTTATTTATGGTGAAAAACCCCAGAGCATACCTTAAAAACTGTAATATAGAGGAGCTGCTGCTGTCTTTTCCCAGGATACAAAGCTGATTTAACATCCCAGCTCATTTAGTTCTCAAGGGTTGCTGCTGAGACCGCCAGTAAATCTGTGTGTGTGTGTATGTGTGTGTGTGTTGGCTGCTGCGAAGGGGAACCAGGCTCCAGATGCCCAGTGATGTGGAGCCCACGGTCCTTGTGCCTGCCCTTGGTATACCCAATTCCTGCTGCAGAGTCCAGAGCTCAGGTCCTGCAAGGTGAGGAGATGCATTCAGGGATTGAGTGTCCAGATTTATGCTGCATCTGAGGCAGACCTGTGGTTTCCATGCTGGTCACAAGGCAAAAGGCTTTCTCCTCCTCTTTGTTGCTTTCTTCCCTTGCTTCCACTACTGGCTGTTCAAAGCTGTCTTTGCCCATTCCCTCATTTGTGCTAGTAATTGTCCAGTTGTAATTTAAATCCTGTTCAACTTGGCGTGGTAAAACATGTTTTAACCAGACTTGTTTTATTTCTTCTGGTGAGTTGAATTGTTTTAATTTCTGATGAGTGACAGAGCCACCCACTCCTCAGCAGGTAGAACAGTGAGAATAAAGATAAAAAGGAGAGGATGCTCCGTATTTTAGCAGCGTCGGGTTTTCCACTTGACTCCGTCTTCCAAGTTTCTACTTAGTGTATAATCTAATGCTAATTGATCAGCATTTTTAGTTATTGTAAATTGGAGCCTCCGTAGCAGAAAAGGTTTGGAGCTTCTTTAAGCTTTACCTGAGAATGTTTCCTAGTTTGTTAGTAAGCTCTAAAATGTGGGAAGGGGCAGTCTAATCACAGGTAAGATATCTGCTACTCCTTCCAGAACACCTGGAAAATATGATCATTTAGTTAGCAGCTTGGGCAGCTCTTATTTGCTATTTCATGCTGGCAAAATGCTGCAAGCTTTAATGTGCTGCAGTCTATGTCTTCGGATGGCTGCGTTATAATTTGCTCTAAGCTAGGTGAGATTGGCTAACATTTATTCATGTTCTTGGAATTTAGAGCTAGACAGGAGAGATGAGAAACAACTTCTAGAGCTTGCCTTAGAAGAGAAGGAAACTCTGGATGAAAAAATGAACCTGTTGTGCAGAAAGGTGAGCCTGAGGTAAAATTTTACAGCTTTGTAAATAAAGATGTCAGAAAAACTTTCCTTTGTGATCTTACCAATAGACTGACACTTGTGTTAGATGAAACAGAAGTCCAGCTTCTGTATTCTCCATGAAAAGAAGTGGCAGCATTAATTATTAGTAAGCTTCTTAGTGACAATTGTGTCTTAGAAGCTGATTATTTTAGTAATTTTTCTTGCTTGCTTGTCTGTCTGCAAATGCTGAAGGGGATTAAAAAACTGGTGTGTGCTACTGAGACATAATGTGACACCCTAGTAACTGTTTGTGGCAGCAGAATGTGCATTCTTGAAACATTTCTGATTGGAACCTTTCATTTTCCCTTCAGCTGAAAGCACCACATGAGTGGGAAAATTAATTGTAAGCAGAGAAGCTAAACAATTCAGTGGGAACTTCTGTGTTTGGGCTCATTTCTATGTTCAGACTAAAGTAATATGAAATGGCACTTTCTGAAAAATAAGATTAATGCAAAGATTGGCTGGGTGGGGCTGGCAGGGGGTGACCTGACACCTGACTTTACAGGACTGAATTTTCATGTGGATGCACCAGCATATCCCATTTCCACACTAACTGCACTGAGTTGCAATGGCCATTGGACAGTTTTTTAGTCCTGCTTAACTAGCTTGCCAAAGATAATTAGTGGTTGTGTGAGCTGAAGCTGTGGCAGTTGCAAAGGATGGCTGTAAATTTGATTAAGAGGAAATAGAGAGTCATGAAGGAGATAATAGCATTCTTTTTTCTTTTCAGCTTTTCCAGCTTCTAGTGCCAAAGGATAAATATGATAGAAGTCCTGTCATATTGGAAGTGACAGCTGGCAGAACAACTGGAGGTCAGCAAAGTCCCTACAGTGAAGATATGCTTCAAACCTCCATCCAACTTTATTGAACCTCTTATGAGTTATTGTTAATGCTTTTTCATACTTTTTTTGGCATTAAGTAATGCTTTCTAAAGATGAGCATTAACCTGTGTAATGACAGGGGTTAGAGTTGCAGCTAAATCTAAAAACTAACGACTGCCATTTTGTAAACTGCTATTTATGTTGCAGTGCTTTTATATTTTTAGGAGACATCTGCCAACAGTTCACTAAAGAAATGTTTGAGATGTACCAGAACTATGCAGACTACAAACGTTGGACCTTTGACATTGTGAACTATACGCCAGCTGAGATAGGTACAGTAGTTCTTCAGACATTTCACCAAGACAATAAAACTAAAGGCAGCGTTTCTGTGCTATATTTGTCACACACTGTTTGTCTCTCTAGGAGGGTTGCATCATGCTGCTGCTCATATTTCAGGAGAGGATGTCTACAGGCATCTGAAATATGAAGGAGGGACTCATCGAGTCCAGCGAATCCCCGAGACGGGCATGTCGTCAAGAATGCAGCGTATCCACACTGGGACAATGTCAGTTATTGTCCTCCCTCAGCCAGAGGAGGTAAACTCTTAATCGGGGTGGTAAGGTGATGGTGTATCCTCGATCACCTATTTTGGCATTGGACTAGGTGTTATTTAAAAGCATGTTACTGTTTTGGGGATTTTATCAAAACCCAAGTGCTTTGTGCAAGTCCCAGCAAATGAACCACAAGTGCTCTGACTCTGGAAGGTGATATCCTTGGCTCTGTACCTTACATGTGTAAATGGATCATCAGAACCAACTTTGCAGAGATTTGCTGTTGCCCAAAATGGCATGTAAATGAATGATAATTCCATTAAGTGTTCCAGCCCCAACACTGGCAAAGCTCACTGCTATGAGTAAGCCAATTTTAAATTACATCTTGTATTAATACAGGGAATATATCCAAGAAAATACTCAGTGTTGCATATTAATGTGATTCTGCAGGTCCTTTTGGTATTTTTTTTTGTTTCATTTAAATTATTGATGTCCTTCTCTGTTAAATCGAGGACAGTCTCCTTTGAATTTGAATGAGTGTGTTGGCTAGTCTTTCTGAGATCTCACTGATACCAATAGTTTTTACTTAAACCAGCAATTTACACACAAAATTAACAAACCCAGATCCTATAGGCTTTTCCTGCACCTTCTCCTGCTTCTTTGTAATACTTTCCTTGCAACACTGATCAGATCTGAACGTTCCTTTCCCATCCACTGAGCTCAAACTATGGTCCAGGTCATCATGGACTCGTATTTCCAATGTGGCGATCCTTACTTGGATGAATCTGGATATACCTATTTTTTCCTCAGTTACATGATTCTACGTACTGTTGCAGGAATCATTCAGGCTTAACTCATGAACCAGATCTTTGCACTGCTGTTTAGTAGTAGTTTTTAAATATGTGCTCATTTCTTAGTCTCCCTGCCAAAGTGAGTGGTTTTACAAAACATTGATTTTATTTTCTTTCACCCCCCGCCCCCACCTTGTCTTGTGAAGGACCTGGAGTAAGAGTTTGAAAAAATAAGTGAAATATTTAAAGCATCGCTTGCTTTTCAGAGATTTTTGACACTGCATTTTTTTAAGTTACAATGATTATAGGTGTTACTCTGGACAGGTGCAGAGGAGCAAGTTTTTGAGAATTTTTATTTCTTTTTTTTTAATGCTGATTATCATTGACATTCAAATATTTTTAGAGTGAGGAGGAAGTAGTAATTTTCTTTGATTCTAGGTTGATATTAAAGTGGATCCCAAAGATTTGCGTATAGATACATTCAGGGCCAAAGGAGCAGGAGGGCAACACGTTAACAAAACCGATAGTGCTGTGAGAATTGTACACCTTCCCACAGGTAAGTCTGGCTGTATTTCATACTTCTAATCACACGAAATCTGTATCCTGACCTTGTATCCTGAACCCTGCAAGTTGTCTCTTGCAGGTTGGGCCCTCTACCAAAGAAAGAAAGTAACCCTTTCTGGTTTCTGCCCCTCTTGTAGCAAGGCAACATGTGAGAAAAGGGCTGTGTACCAGTGGCACAACGATTATGCCAGTTTTGTCTTCAGAGGGAGTGTTTATTGAATGTCTTTGAAAGATGAAAGAACAAATAGAGGGTGACAGGGATGGGAAGGAAGATGTAAATGATTTGTGCTGTGTGCTCTGTACCTTCAGGAATAATGGCCACTGGCAACCCCAGGCATGCTTTGCTTGGCTGGAACCTGTGTAGTTACATGACTGACAAAAAAGAAGACTTTTTTCATTCAGTACTAGATAATGCTATCATATGTTGAATAGGAAGGAAAATGTATGTTGATGGGAAGGTAGTGTGTACACTGGACCACTCTGTCTTTCTCAGGATTTGGTTTTTTTGAAATTCAGTGAGCTTCTGTCTGTCCAGATGCAGAATCTCTTCAGGCACAGGAAATTCCAGTAGTGACCTGAAAACAGCTGTTTCCTATATACTTTTTTCTTTCAGAAATCAAATGAGAAGTAAAAATAAGTACTACGTTTGTTTTAAAGACCATTATTTTGCTCTATTCCATTATTCGTAGTTCTAGAGTCACCTGTGTTGATTAGGACCCTTTTTGTGCTATAATAATGAATTTTCCAGTCTCCTAGAGCTTATCTGAACTAAGACTTTAAAAACTTGTGTTATACTGTTTTAAACATGCTTCTGTAGACTGTTCAAATTGCATTTTTAACATATGACAGCTAATTGGAGTGAACCCATTTTCTGAAGGCAATGTCAGAAACTTGTTTGCTTCATGAAATTTTAAAATATCCCTGACTTTTCTGTAGCACTGAACAAAACCCTCCGGTGCAGCTGTGACAAGTTTAAAAATGCACTAATGGTTCTGACCAATGTGTTAAAATGACTTTTTATCCCGCAGCTGAAAGGCCCTACAAACCAGCACTCCAGTAGGTTTCATTTGCCTAATGTGCTAGAATTAATTTAGCTTGTTTGTTCTTTGTTATAATGGGCTTTTGGTCTGAGCTCTTGAATCCCTCTGTAAAGGACTGGCAGTGGAGTGCCAGCAGGAGCGGTCACAGCAGCTGAACAAGGAAATAGCTCTGCGGACACTGAGAGCTAAGCTGTACCAGCAGATCATTGAAAAACAACTAAGTCAAGAGCAGAGTGCCAGAAAACTGCAGGTGAGGACGTGCGATAGCTGAGATTCAGAGAGGGTGCTGTGCTGTAGATTTGTTTCTGATCTTTTAGAGTGATTGTGACAGAGCAAGGAAGTGAGTGTGTCTAACCAGGTGTGCTTACAAGGGAAAATCGTGTATTTTTTTTTTTACATGGTAAGTCTGTTTCTACTTATCCCAGTTCCACGCTATTGTAGACTTCTTAGGCAATGAAAAGAGACGTGTGGCTGGAAACAAAAAAGAGTCAAAAGACTAGCTGGAATTATCCAAGAGGCAAAACTCAACATCGTGTATTGAATGTCCCTGTTAAGGCCAGAGTTACACAAATAAAGCTTTAGTAAAAAGTTATTTTCCATGGAAAACTAGGATCAGAAGTTCTCGGAAGTTTATAAACCAGAGTATTTGATATAGCCATCCAGAGCTTTTGAAAGAAACAAGTAGATAAACAATCCTACCACTATGCACTTAGGTAGCAGTTTATTTGATATGGTTTAGGTAACCCTTTAAGGAACAAACAGCTTCCCTAAGAGTTACCTCGAGTTAGGCTGCAAAGTGTGCTTTTCTCTCAAAATGTCCTATCGTTCTTTGAGTATTTTCCCATCTATGGTACAAAATTCAACAGTGGTCAATGGGAATTAAAAGCTTCAAAATTAGGAAATTACTCAGTACTCCGTATTTTCCAGCTTAGCTATTTAATCACTAATTTCAGGTTGCGTTTACATGTATTGTTCCTGCAGAGTATTCCCCCATCGTTGCAAGCAGCGAGCCACTTATCTTTTGTTATTAATTTCAACCCGAGAGTCTTCAAAGTTGCATAGAGGACTTGGATGAACCTTTATATAAATACTGTGAAAAATGAGGCAGAAGTGACTTACCCTTCCTAATATTTCAGCGTTTAATCCCAGAAGTCCCTTGTTTTGAATTACACATGTTGAGTGCAGATGAGTGCTGCTTGCACTGTCGCACTTTACCACTAGAGGGTTACTTCTCACTCCCGGTTTACTCTTTTGGTGCTAATTTCTGATAGCCACGTGTTGGCTGTGCTGCTTCTGTTATTAATGGAGAAGACTACTTTCATACTTTTTTTGTGGGAGCTATAACCCCCAAAAAAGGAAAAATACTTACTCTTTGGAACTAAGGACTCATATAGACGTATCTCTTGCCTTACATGACTTTTGAGAGTTAAGTAGTTCTTCCAGCTACAGAGCAGGAAGAGAAATGTGCTGGAGGATATAAAAACTTGGCCTGTGATACAGAATCACAAACAATACAGTTTAATAATGCCATAATATTTTAAAAAACCCCATATGCTAAGCCAGTGACTGCTAGGCTTGTAGTTGAAACAGGCTCATCCGTTGAAGTTTATTCTAAATATACTGTTTTAGAGAAGTACTTGATTTTTTTAAGACATAACATAACAGAATTTGTTTTTTGCTGCTTTGCTACAGTTGGGAACAAGAGCCCAGTCAGAGAGAATTCGTACTTATAACTTCACCCAGGACAGAGTCACCGACCACAGGATCTCATATGAGGCACGAAATATCAAGGTAATGGTTGCTTATAAGAGTGTTTAAGGTCAGATACTTATGTGTACCATAAGAAGGAAAAATTAACTTAGTGAAAACAATTTAATATATATATACATGAACAAAGTAGCCAGTTGTGCTCTGACAGAACATTGTAGATTTAGAAAGCTAAACTTTGTTTCCTGCCTTCTTGTAGGTGTTAGAGATTACTGACACAGGCTATAGCTCACTGGCCTACTTCTCTGTGTATTTTTCTCCTACTGTATGAGTGGAAAATGATCAAGCATGTGGTCCTCAATGAGCTCCATGAGTCTCTCGGCCAAACTGGGCAAGTGACATTTGTAATTCTGGAAGCATAGTACATCCAAAAGAAAAACCTGACATGAAGGACTTTTTATTTATGTTAAGCCATTCTTTCCTCCTCCTGAAGCTGAGATGAAAAACAAAAATACTTTTATGTTTGCCTCAGAGGCCACACTTAAAAGAAACTGAAACTGAATTGTTTTCATTTTAAGATTATCTGAGATCTTTTTTCTGAGTTATTATCTACATATAGCTTGAATCTTATTGATTGTTCAGCCTGAAAAAGAAAAGGCTCTGGGGTGACCTAATTGCATCATTCCAGTATCCAAAGGAAGCCTACAAGAAAGGTGGAGACTTTTTACAAGGACAGGTAGTGACAGAATGAGGAAGAATGGGTTCAAACTGAAAAAGGATATGTTTAGATTAGGTATTAGGAAAAAGTCCTTTACTGTGAGGGTGGTGAGGCACTGGAGCAGGTTGCCCAGAGAAGCTGTGGATGCCCCATTCCTGTAGGTGTTCAAGGCCAGGTTGGATGGGGTTTTGAGCAACCTGGTCTAGTGAAAGTTGTCCCTGCCCACAGCAGGGGAATTGCAGCTAGAGGATCTTTATGGTCCTTTCTAACCCAGGCTATTCTATGGTTCCATGATTCAATTTATTGCAGTTTTTTAACAGTGAAAAAGACTCCTGATAATAGATTTTTGAGTTTTAAATTTATTTAAATGTTTTGAATGTCAGAACAAAGTTTAGGGTGATCCCTTGAGATTTTGGCTTAGGTATCCAGTTTGCTGTAAGTGCTATTGCATAAGGAGCAACACTTTTCAGACTGTACCCACATGTGTCCTGGGTAAATCCAGAGACTACAAGGCATGCTGAATATGGAATGGTTCATATTTAATGGAGTGCAGAATACCATGGTGGAGGAAATAGTTCCATGATTGCATAAAGGTGACTTTTGTTAGTTACTTCGTGCTGGGAACTTGTTACTTTTTGAGTGAAACTGGAAACATAAACTGACCAACATAAATTAGTTGAGCATTGCTTGCAGAAGAGCCTAGTTTTTGGCGCAGACAACAGCATTAGAATTAGGTTTTTCAATCCTTGATTGTTCTTATAGGGGATTTTCGTGTAAGCGCATGGCTTACATGAAAATATGGTGGGAAGGTGCCAGTAGCAACTTCTGTTGCTTCCAGAACCAATGTGCCTTTCACAAGCAACCAGCCAAGTCCTGCTGCTGTCCACCACATGTTGCTTTCAAACGGGGAAGCTGCAAGGGTGAGCAAGTGGAGGGGCTGCAGGCAAAGAGCATTTCAGGGGCTCCTCGCTGGAGTAGTCAACGTTTCAGAATAGTACTGAAGTACGGGCAGTAGTGCTTTTATCTGCTCTTTCTTTTTCATAGGAAGTTCTATATGGGAAAGAAGCCCTGGATAAGCTAATCAACAGACTACTGGAGTTTGCAGAGATAGAGGCTGTCACCGAATATCTAGAAAATCTGCAGGCTTCTGAAGGAGGAGGCTGCTGACACCCACGTGTAGAGTTAAACCAAAAATGTTGTGTTTGGTAGCAAAATAAAACAGATGTGTTTGTTGGGTGAGGTGTTGATTAAAATCTATTCTTCTGTTTCTCAATGTGTGATACCATTCTTTTTATGTTTTGGTGCGAATGGGTTGAATTTATTACAGCAGACCTGGCAGAAAAGAACGAGCGTGAAGTACTGTGCGCTCACTCCTTGTGTCTTGGCAGCTGGGCTTTGTTAAGCTGGTCCTCTTAACCATGTTACAGCTGGAAAGATGGAGAATCGTGGTGGTGGAGCAGGGAGTGCACTTTTAGGGGTGGGGGATGTTCCTTTGCGGGAGAAAGAAACTGAGCTCCCCCAACATAGTCTAGAATCTGGCCTCCTGAATACTACTTCTTTTTTATCCATTTATTGTGTGAGCTTCCTAAATGAAATCCCTTAAAAATAACTTTGTATTATGATACTTTAGAGTAAATATACAAAAGCAAAGGGAGTGATCTTGGTCAATGTTAAGAGAGAAGCCTGTCAGCTTTCTTCCAGCCATTCTTGGGTCAGCTTAGGGTGGGACTGGACCTCATGCTGCAGTGGCACATAAAAGTACGCATTCTGGTTTTAAATTAAGTTGATAACAGACAGCTCCCTGCTTCTTGGCAGAGCAAACAAGTTCATAGTGTAGATGCATTTTAGCAAACCAGGTAGCTCTGGAATTCAGCTTCTGCCTTGATGTCTTTGGGAATGTCTGCCTGTCCCTGAGGGTGATCCAGCTGTCTGTGAGTACACCTGGCTTTACTGGGGCTTGGGTTTACGTTTTTCCCTGCGCACGCACGGTGCTGTGTGCTGACAGGCACCGGGCGTAGGCAGGCAGGCGTCATACCCAGTGACTCAGGAACACTCCGTGTTCAACGTGCCTCAAAGATAGGTGCTCTGCTGAACTCGGTTGACTTGCAAGATCACGGTGTTTTCTTTTTATCCTGCTCATCCCAGGTTCTGCTGTAAAGCTGCTCCGCACAACCTTCTGCGCACGAAGACTCAGTTTGTTGTTACGATTTAAATTATGCCTTGTGGCTGATTTATATCTGCACGTGTATTTTGTAATCATGAATGATACAGTGCGAGAAAATGTCAGTTATTTTAAGAAAAATGATTGTTTCAATACTGAGTTCTTCTAAATGGTGTAGCTTTTACTACTGTGTATGTAACAATAGTTTTAACATTATTCAGCTATATAAAGAAAGGCAGAATTTGTACCAGGAAGAAAGCAGGAAAACTATACTCATTTCCTCAGTTCTGGAATTATTCTTCAATTCTTTTGTGTGTTCCTATCAGCAAGCTTTGTCTGACAATTTCTGACTTGCTTCCAACACTTTAATTACAAAAGCTTCTGGAATTTGGTTGATTTTTTTTTTAATTGATAGCTCTGTAAATCAATCAGGAAATTTATTTACCATGCAATCCAGGATTCATTTGAACTTTGACTTTTTGCAGTAAGCAGTTCATAATTCAGAAAAAAACCCCTCTGTGAAGATCTGCAACTGAGCTTGTACTTCTGCAGTGCTGACATAAAAAAAATCATCAGCTGTAGTAGGAGAGTATCCAGATAATATGCTTATCCAGTTACCATGCTTACTTTTGTTATGCAAACCAATCTATTTTAATAATGATATCTATTGAATAATCTTAGAAACTTCTTAAAATGTACACGTTTCAAATAATCAGATTTCACTTCCAGGATTAATTAATGAAGTACTTTACTGTGAAAAACCACTGAAACACTTAAAAAATGGTCCTCATTTATTTTACTGGAAGAAAGATGGTCATATTTCTGCAGGACCTTAGGGATATTTGTGATTAATTAATTTTCTGTACCCCTTTTTTGTTGTTGGTTTGGTGCAGAGTGATGAGAAAGGGGAAGGCAGACAGCAGCTCCCCTCTTCTACCAAGTTTTGGATGTCCCAAATGTAGGCACTGAAATTCAGCAGCTAAGCCCCTTCTGCCAGCCTGGCCTGGGAGATTCTGAAGGATCTTTGTCTTATTAAGCTTTTTCTGCAATGGCATATATGTGTGTGTGTGTTAGCAAAATATGGCTACGGCAGAATTTGGGATAGAGCAGACCCCTTCCTACAGGAGGTCACTGCCTGCAATGCAGGAATATTTGCTTCTCCTCACTGAGAAAGCATTATTTGAAACTGTTTTCTCTTAACTTAAAAAGATTTGAAGCTGTATCTTAAATTGTAAGTTCTTCCCCCCTGGTCTTTCTGTGGGATGTAAGAGCTGAGAGATTGTGATGGGGTGTGACCGTGGGCTGGCACTTGTCCTCAAGGAAGGATGTGGGGTGTAACAGTTCCATTTCTGAGGTGTTTTCAGGATGGAGTACTCTGAACTTGGGCTTTTTGGTTCCTACAAGTAATCATGACTTCCAGCAGTGAAATCATCAGCAGGAAAAATTACAGTAACAAAGCACAGGGAGGAAAAGGGGTAACAACTTCTTTGGGGGGGGGGGGGGGGGGGGCAATGAACAGCCCCTGGGGAGAATGCAGCAGAGCAAGAGCAGGTTCCCCTGCTAGAAACAGCCTGCTGTAGCTCTGCATTTCCTTGTCAAATAGCGTTATAAGAAACATAAACTATCACCTATCCAAAATATCGCCTGGCTTCCCCTCCCCACCATCAGTGTGGAACTGGGCCCTTACCCACAGAGGTCATGTTACAGCTGGTGCGAGGCACCACGTTCATCGCTCTGCGGATCCTGTCCATTGATATGAAAAGCAGTTACCTCGATCTCTTTCCTTTCCCTGCTGAGGTCTCGCGCGGCAGCATCTCACGCAGCCAAGAAGGAAGCCAGACAAAAGCTGTGCGTGCGCTCGGAAGTAGCGCTTTCTATGGCAGTGGAAAGTTGGACGCTTACTCTCTGCAACAGGAGAACAGCCCGGGTGCCTCATCACCTCCATTACTTCCATTTAGCCATCCAGTGTGTATCGAACTCTCAGGGCACTGCTCACTGTTCTTGAGACCAGCAAATTTGTAACTACTGAATCACAATCTGTCATCACAAAGTTTATATATTCAGCTTTATTCTGAGTGTTAGTAACTGCAACAAACCTTACCTGAACTCTATGAAAAATAATTTTTAAATTTAACAATTTTAACCCAGGCCTTTTGTTACTCGTAGTTGATGCACAAAAAACCCCAAATTTTCTGTAACCACTTAATGTGCTAGAGGAAGGCACCCAGACACCATGTTGGTGACCATAAAATAAAAGTATTTCTTTTAAGAAGCATTTTCATATTTTTAATATAAATTTTATATAGTTTATATATTTAAGTTCATATTTACCTCAGGCCCCACTTTTAACAGAATATGCACCCATAAATATTCCAGGTTGTCCTAAACCCCCTGAACAGATGAGCAGTGGTAACGTAGATTGTTCAAATGAAAGCTTTATTTGGTATTTTCATATAAACTCCACTTCAAGAGCTTGCAATATTTTGTAATTGCAACTGAGAAGCAGTTGAAGAGAAAACAGCTGTTTATCTTTGCAGACATTACCTATAAACTAAAACAAGCGCTCTTCAATCACTCCAAACAAGCCATTAAAATCCACTGTCTTCATCCTGTGGTCTGTACAGTGCTCTCTTCTGGTTTTTAACAGACTGTTTCTGGTTTTACACATAAAATCAAACCCGCTTGTGCTGACACTCTCTGGGAATCCTCTTGGGCAAATTTAGCCTTTTTGAGATTATTATTTGCAACACTTTTTGCCTTGTACAGAAAATTTTATTCAAGCTCTTCCCTGAAACATTTCAAAAAGCTAAATTTGTTAATCACACAAATGGTTAACACAATTTCTAATTTAAATAATTTAGCAGGTAGAAGGTAAGGGGACTTAAGAGGTAGATAAAAGAGAGACTGCTGACAAAACAGAACGCAAGCGTTGCTGCAGCTCACAGCAGAAGGTATAAACAGCTTTTGTACCAACAAGCAGAAGGATTTGAGGGCTGCAAACCCCATAGGAGGAATGGAATCTGTCTCAGGAAAATGAATTATCAAGGAAATCAAAAGAGCACATGTAGTCAGTCTTGAAACAGCTTGTATGTTGTTTGGAAATAGACAAGGTTGTAGTTCTTCAGGGCACAATGCAAACAGGCAGCAGAAGTGGTTGGCAGGAGCTGGGACCTGGAGACACCTTCGCCTACCTAGGAATGCAAAGCTTTCTGAAGATCTCAGCAGAGCAGGATGAGGTGAAGGTGGATGCCAGAAACACAGCACAGCAGTGATACAGAGATTTGTGTACCTGGGAATACTGCAGGGAAGACAATTTGAGGAAGACAGCAATAGTAAGAAAAGTACTAAAAAAAGGGAGGCACAACTCAAAAAGTGAAGCAAGGAAACCAAAAAGCGTGAAATAGTTTTTTACTCCCTTTCTGAGATGCCAAAATTTCCACTGAAATAAAATCTGTCAGGGAAGAAAAAAAAAAAAAAAAGGTGAAATGTTTTTTATACATGCACAGACTAGTGAATTTAACTCAGATCCATGTCATGACCAGCCCTCCCACCTTCTAAATCTGAATATTGGGACTGGCTGATGCTGCAGCACAGACTTTATCTATGATGTTCTAATGAAACTTTACCCTACTGGGGAAGTCTGGATTTCAATCTACAAATCCCCAGGTGAAGGGTTAAAATTTGTCTCAGCCTAAAGAGGAATAAGGATTATTCTAGAACACGGGTAAACTTGAGTGGGTCTCTGCACAGTTCCTCGCATAGCAAATGCACAACAAAATAATTTTTCTTTTTTCTGTATATGCAGTATGTTTACTTCTAAAAGCATCACCAACTTTAGACAAGCCCCACTGTAAAAACATGCACAAAATGTCCTGTACTGTAAAAGCTGTCTTCCTAAACAAATAAGGCAGGTGAAAATACGAGGCAAGGAATGAAAAACACAGAGCAGTGAATTGACTCGCTCTAAACCACGCAACAGAAATCATCATCAGAAATTGCAATGACTCCCTTTCTCTCTGGCTCTCCTCATATTGCCAATAGTATCTATAGCAGCCTATAAAACCAAGGATGTCGTCCTCACTCAAGGAGCTTGCAATAAACCCAGGCAAGCA